GGCGTTGAGGGGTAGGTTGTGGGGAAGGGGTTTGGTGGTTGGGGAGGGGAGTGGGGACTGGTGGGGAGGGTCGAGTTGTACGAGTGAGAATACTTTCAGGGATCACGCAACTAGGGGCCTATATCGTAATAAAATGTCCATTACACCGTTAAACCGTTAAGCACAGACGCCGGTCTGATTTTCCCGTTACTATTTTTAGAGCTCCCAGACACTCGTTGACATTATCAAGTCATGGACAATCTCGGAACTGAATTCAAGAGAAGCTAATGACTTAGAAACGACTGACATCCGGTGAGGTGAAAACCGATAGGGGTTCGATTCTCGGTCATGACAGGTTTTGTTTTTTGGGGTTTTTTAAAATTTTATGTTAATGGAGTATCTTTGTCTGTCTGCGAGAACGTTATATGATCCCTGTCAATCTCTGATGGCATCACAATTTAATTTAGATTCACTTTGGAGTCAGGCTGCTCCCGACTATGAAAGAATGATCTATTGCTTCAGCTACACGCAAAGCTTCCTGCTCCAAGCTTTTAGACACGCTAGATCTAGCGGTTTGTTGCGTGTTTCCTTTCATAAAAAAGTAGATCGTGGAATGGAATAAAAAGAGCTGAAAAATAGCGCAGCGGTGATTTCATTTTATGAAATGAAGTTAAAAAGTTGTGATAGTAAAAATATATGAAAGAAATATGCATAGCACATGGATTATTTTCCAAAAAATATTCAATTGGATACCTCAGTCGAGCGGAAACGATGAAATGATGGGCAATTAATTAATGCAGAGAGTAATCGACCCGAGGTCTGTGATAATGTGGAATCGATGACCACACATAGAGACAGCTGGGAGAAGGGTGGGTGGGGGTGGCAAGAGAGGAAAGGAAGGTGGGAGGATAAGAGAGGAGAGGGGGAAAGGATGAGTTGGGAGAGGCGGGGGGTGAAGGAGGAGAGATGGAAGGGAGGAGGGGGGAATGGAAAAAGAGAGATGAGGAGAGGTGGAAATAAGTGTTGGGGGATGAGAGGGAGAAGGAGTGGAGGAGGAGGTGGTGGAGAAGGAGGGAGTGGAGGGGAAAGAGAAAGTTGGAAGGCGGGAGGGGAAGGACGATAAGTGAATGGAGGGGGAAATAAAGGAATGGGGTATGGAGGAGGAGGTGGGAGGGTAGGCAGGAAAGAGAAAGTTGGGAAAGGAGAGAGGAGAAGTAGGAAGAGGGAGGAAGAGGGGAAAGAAAGTTGGGAGGGGGGAGGGGGAGGGAGTGAGGCTGAGTTTTATAAAGGCCACGTCTTGATTTACTAGCCCAGAGAGCCGGAGCGCGTGCATGCATTAGCGATAAAACACAAAGTTCAAATGATCATTACCCCCATACATAGAACATTATACCTGGCTTTCCCTTTTAAAGCCTCAATATTGTTTGTGTCTCCTAGTCGTATCAATCAGAGGCTTTGGCTGCTCTGTCTCGACGGGGTGGTTGGCGGGTGCTCTGGTGTGCTTTAAATCGCTCTTTCTTTCCTATCAAACATCTGCTTGTCGTTGCAGTATCTGCTCCTTCTTTTCTTTGTAAGTCACTTTCGAGAAACAACTCTAATCTTTGGCTTTTGTAATGTGACCTTTTTTTATTTGCAAGTGCTATGAAAACTATTATTTAAACTAAATTCAAAATCTCGA